ACTAAGACATTTATGATATAATTGACCACCACCTGCACAGAGATGATTGTAATCACATCTGCCATATTTCACTGGAATTTTGATAACTTTTAAGCAGAGATTTAATATTTTATCAGGACTACTGCAGTGGCTCATTAAAAGTTTTCACCATTCCTTTTTCTTTAGGAGAGGGGAGGAGAGCTAGAAAATGGCAGAAGTGCTGCTGTCAGTATTACAAAGGCCTCATGTACACATTTTTCTATTTTAACGTCTGCTATGGTACAGTTAGTATAGTTCTGGACCTTGTGTTCAGCTTGTTTTCTCTCTGAAATGCATAACATTGATAACTTTAAAAAGGTCACAACATTCAGAATATGAATCACCTCTCTCTATCATGACTGTGCTATAGAACGTGAATCCTAGGCAACACAAGGAAAAGTAGAATTTAATTTTATTTTATTTTGAAACCAAATAACTTACTTTAAAAGGGGAAAGAAAAGAGGGCTGTTCAACACGTCAAAAAATTGTAAATATGTCAATTTGTTATTGAGAGCAGGAGTAATGTATTTTAAACGTATGCTTCACTTCCATTTTCATGGAAAAGAAATCAAGGTGAGAAGGGGGCATTTCATAATATAAAGTTAATGAGAGCTCATTAGATAGAAAAATTTACCCTTTTATGCTAGCATGAAGAAACAGACACATGCAGAAGAATAAGGCTTTGCACAGGATTTGTAATTATACCAAACTTGAGCTACCAACAACATGCGTGACTTTTTTATGGTCATTTATGAAAACTTCCATAACTGTCCATCTAAATGGGACTTTTCGCTCAGGAAATAGATAATAGATATTACTGCAGTTCTTCCCCCACCTCTCTCCCTCTTCTGTAACCTCTAAAAAAAATTTCAGTTTAGTCTATAATTTATTATTTTAATAGTTATCTGTGTTTTTTTTTTAAATGGGTGTAATCAGTCTGCCTGGTATCAATAGTTAAAAAAAAAAAAAAAAAAAGTTGAAAATGAAAAATCCAGAGCTGGGTCAATATGTCATAGCAGAACTGAGAAATTATTTTAGAAGACATGGAAACGTGGCTAGGAGATGACATTTGTCATAAATTTCTTAGACCCAGAAAAAATAAGGGATGGAATTGTTCTGTTGCATGAGTAAAAAAACAACTTTTATCCAAGGGCGTGATCCTGTTTGCTGATCTGTAGTCTTTTTGCCTGCCCAGAGCTCTCATAAAACAAGTTTTAGGGCTGGCACTTAATAACTATATTTGTTAGATTGTCATAACGATATGTCCAACATATTCTTCCCACAGACGGTGCTTGGAAAAGAACAACCTTTTATATCTCTACAGAATGACACTAGATTATTTATCCTTATATCAAATTAATACCTCATATTTGCCGATTGCAAATTGATTTCCGTCTCATCCACTTCAGTGGAGAGTTTAACATGAAATCATCATCTTGGTCCTGGCTTTCATATTGAATTCTAGGTATCATGAAAACCTTTCACAGGAAGTCCTGTAAATTAAACTTGCATGTTGTTGGTTTGTTCCAGTTGCTATTATTCGTACAAATGTCTCTTAAAGATGCATAGCATTATTTTTTTAGAAAATGAAAAGACATTTCCTTAAATTCATTAAAGAATTACAGAAGGCAGAATACATAATCTTGTTATGATGAAACTTCCATTTTCTGCAATCGGTGGGATGTCGCTATATATTGCTTTACATGAGCAAAGCTCCTGCAGAAGAACTTTGTATTTTCATTTCTTCATGTATTATAATGTATTTTACAAAACCCCAGAAGTACAGTTTTAATCTGTTGGGTTCTTATATCACAAACTATTGTAGCTTTGATCATCTTATTGAAAATGTCATTGTGTATTGACATCATTTCTGCTCCTCTCATAAAAAATGTTTTATTTAGAAACAGTTACTGTCCCTGAAACAAAATTGTTTAAGCCATTTACGTAATCTGCGTTCCAGAGTTCTTGCAAGGTCTTCCTCCCTGCAAACTCTTACTGCAGATGAAGTGTTTTAACCTTCCCTTAATTTATTCTACACTCTAATTTCCAGTAAACAGATGCCGCCTCTTTTCGCGCTTGTTTCCACATTTTCCACATGCTGCCTGTGTTAATTCTGCATGTGTGAATATTCAATTATCTATCTCTTCCTGATTCTGCAACTGATGTACTAAATGTCTGTACTGTCAAGAGGGGCTCGGGGTGGGGGGAGGATACTTAAAGCCTAAATAAAAAGAAATGGAATTATATTCTTGATCGTTTTTGTCTTGAATCTGGGCAAGCTAGTAAGTCATAAATAAACTACCAGAAACTAGATGGACAGCTTTATGTTTCCTAAATATACAGTAATTGTATTGATGGGACTGTTTTTTTTACCCCTCACTTTGTCATGAAGTCTGAATATGCCTTTGGCCAGTATTTGGATGTGAAATGCTCCAAGGTAAATTGATGATGCTGCTGAAAGTGGTGTTCATGTGATGTTTTCTCCTGTGTCGTCATTGAACATTTTTAGTGCAATGCCAGAGAGCTGTTGGAGGTGCTGCCTTTTGAATAAGACACCTAAGATGGTAGAATTTCAGCGTGTTGATGTGTGAAACCTTTAGTACATATCGACTTCTACTGCAGGGATTATTTATGTGCCTTGAAGCTCTTGGCGGAAGGGGAAGGAAAAGAGGGGGGAACCTGTACAGATGCTCTTTTGGCAGCCAGGGTTAAAACTTAACAGAAGTACAGGGAGGGTCTGGTTCACTCCAGGGTTTGTGTTGGTAGAAGTTGGGCCAGAGCAACCAAGAGTGCAGAATTCACCAGGCTGGAGACTGGGGCTGTACAAGGCTCTCACCAGCCCCAGAAAAGGGTGGGTTTGCCAGGAAGCTGATTCAGTTATTTCTGGTAACTGGGCAGCCTCTGCTTGCAGGGCTCCTATAGGAACAGCTCCTGGTTAAAGCTGCCAGCTGCTTATCTCCAGGAGCGAATCTTTCCTGAAGTGCAGAAGACCTGCCATTGCAAGGAAAAGACATGTCCATGCCCCCAAGTTAAAATCATTATCTCCCTCCTTACCTAGAAACATCTAAGTGACCATCTCACCTGTCCCTAAGAACTCTTCCATGTTTAAGTCAAAGTCCATATCTCTCGGAGTAAGGTGTAGTAGGCTTGTAGGTCCTCTAAGTTAAGCTACTATAAAGGCACAAGTTGGGAGGTACAGAGGGTAAGGGCCTGACATGAAAGACTTCTCAGTGATTGCCGGAGTCGGATGATTAAGAGCCAGCACAAAATCTTGACACTAATGGGAGCATATGTGTTATCCTGAGGCTCCCTGGCTATGGAACCCTTAACTAATTTAATGCAATTGCACAGCTGTTTAAAACTACTATTCACTAGTACAGACAATTGGTGATAACAACCAGAACAGTAAAAGTGTCTAAAGGGCAGAGCAAACATGATAAATAACCTTTTCTTGCCATACGCTCCTATTTTTCAGTCCTTGAACTAAATGGCACATGCTATTTTGCATAAGGAAGCTAACTCCATTCCCAGGTCTAGAACAGAGGCCTTGCTTGCAGCCTGCTGGCTTTGGGAAGCATCCTGTTAGATTAATGGTCAAACCCCCCTTTGCCTCCAAAGGAAACTTTAATGACTTCACAACTCTGGCTACACAGCCATATGGGAGACTGTCAAGAATGGAGTGAGAGTCCAAGGAATGAAACCTCCATTGCCATGCTGAAGCGTAGAAAATCTCTTTGGGGCTTTTGTCTGGGACCCCATAAAATAAGAAATTAACTCTCCCAACTTCTATGAAATGGGACAGTTCACAGTATTGTGCAGCACTGGGACAACAACAGAAGGGTTGTGACTTATAAAATGTTTTATATATTTGTGATCCCTAAAAGATATTCAGAAATGCATGGGAATCCCAAACAGTATCAAGGCTGAATCCAGTACCTTGCGTACGGAGATGGCTCTGGAGTCAGAGTAGATTTTCAGGAATGCTAATTGTGAATGGAGAAATGCTGCTGCATTCTGATTTCCAGGAGACAAATGCAAAGCAAGACAAGACTTTCCAGCTGCCAGACGCATGTCCTGTGCACTTGGGGGGAAAATCCCTGGATCAAATTATCTTTGTGAAAGAGTCAATTTGAGACAAGAAAGAGGAAAATTGTCAGTGCTCAAATAATTATACCTGCTGAAGAGTATGCAACTGTGTTCCTCTGTCCTGTCTAACTTCATGCTGTCGAGGATAGTCATCAAAATTCATTATAGAACAAAATCTGTGTAGTTAAATTATTGAAAAATATTACATGTTCTAAGTACAGCTCTTAAGCAGAAGATTCTGACAGTGAGAAATCATAAAAGAAAATCCCACTATTTACTATATCTATAGTGTATTTGACCTAGTAACATCTCTCATTGGACTAAGGGCAAAGTGTTTTCTTTTCAGAATGTACTGGCTTGCTGTATTATATATTTCTGCACCTTGAACTGCCATGAATATTAATAGGAATTCCATGGTCTGAGATCTGCTCAGATATCATGATGCTGAGTGACAATTAACAAAATAAGTCAGAGGAATTCACTGTGGCTGTAAATCATCAATAGCAAGAGGTTTAACAATGTTCTTTGTTTATATTTACAAACACCAATGTTATAATTTATATAGAAATTAATAGTGAATATGACAAAAGGGGTTTACTGTAGCCAGACAATAGGTTTGGAGTTTTACTGTGAATTGTACATATGGCTAGAGTATTGCACAGAGACATACTATATAAATTGAAAGAATAAATAAATAAATATTGACTTTGTTGTACACCTGTTTAGCTTCTGGAGGCTAGTGATTTGTGGGACCATATGTTGGGCAAAATGAGACTGTCTATTGATAATTGTAAATGTAGTGACCCTTTTCAAACTGGGTATTAAAAATATTAAGTAAACGGCACATTTTAATTATATAGTAAATAGGTTATTCTCCACCATGAAAAGTAAAAGACGGCATCTGTCAGGAAGGATTGGTTGTATGATGCATGATAACATTTATTTAATAGTAGACCTTGGTAAATGACATACAGAATGATCTTTCTTTCATTTCTTGGACAAACTGATTAAGAAAAGATTTATACAATGATAGCCATTGAAACCGCAGTCCCTCTTTCTTTATGGTAAGAGCAAACACAGTCTTTTTATACATGTTTTTAATATATCCTTTTTTTTTTTTTTTGCTTAAATGAGCTTCACAGTATCTATAAATTTCAACAAAAGTTGTGTAAATGAAAAACTGTAGCAATGAGGTTTGGAACTGAAGGTCAATTCATTTGTTATCCTTTTTGCCATAGGTATTAAGTTGCATAATTAGCATAGTATTATATTGTCCTTGTCAATGTTAACACTATATTGTAATGTCTTTGAAAAGTGCCACTGGTAAACCACTGAATGCTCAGCCTCCAAAGAACAACACCCCAGGTAGGTTGTTGAGGGCACTCACCTCAAAATGCCTGTCAAAGTTGTATGAAGAACTTAGAACAAGTTGTTGCCCAGTAAAAAATTGCCAGTCATATATTGGCATAAATGTATATGCTCCTAACATGTGGAAAAGGGAAGCAGCTGTGTAGACTGATTTCTGTGGGGCCATTTTTGACAAAAATACTTATTTTGCCTACCATTAGCCGACTTTAAGACAAATGTGTAAAAGACAAAGCAGCAGCTTAAACTGAATAATTCTCTTGCTTGATCAAAAAGTACTGTTTTCCCCACTTCTCCTCTTATGAACTTTGTATTCCTTTCCTCATATAGTGCCAATCCTGTGGTGAGGCACTTGCAAAGTTTGGAGGTTGGGGCATGTGAAGTAAGGAGCTGGAAGGAAGCATGCTGCTATCCCGTTGGAAGCAAAAGGAAGTGTAGGCCCATAGAATACTTCTTCTTTTCCTTCCTTGCTAATATCCAGCACCTGGAGGGATCAAAATGCAAAAAATATTGAAAAGTTCACAGAAAAAAAACTGAAACAGATTTGCTGGCCTATCCTGTACACCTTCATTATTCTGCCCAACAGAAAGGCAGTTTCACCTCAGTGTTAAATTATATGGATCAAGTGGTTTATACCCTCCGTTTCCCCCCAAACTTATCTTCGCTCACACTTAATAGCAAAGAGTGACATTTGATCACACTCCCTAGCTGCACAATGTGCAGCCATGCAAGTACAGAACTCTGT